CTCTTCCGATCTCCCCAAAACCCCAAAACCCCTTGAACGCATATTAATTGTTTAAAGTATATAAATTTGAATCAATTCAAAATACAAATTAAAATGGCATTTAACTCTAGGTCTCACAGCTTGACCTTGTTCACTGAATACTACTAAAGGAAGTTTATTGCACACAATAGAAGCTGGAGCAACATATTTCATATACTGATAATTACTGTAGTCATAATATTGCCTTTTATCCTAACTTTCTAAGCCGGAAGTAAGAATACAATAAGTGATATTTATTATCTATAGCGTTTTGGTAAAAGCAGGATAAATATCAGGAGTAGCCAAATGTGAAATATACTAACGACCTATATGTATAGATAGTGTTCACAGATCCAGCTACCAAGATCTCTGAAAGTTATGTATATTCGACATCTAGCTTGATAAATAACCAAGCCTAAACATTGCTTAACCCTCCTGCGATTTCAACATCCAGTTAAGACTTCAACAGAGATGGAATGGCGGAAAGATGGAACATCAGTATGAAAGTAAGAAAGCCTGCTGATAATCTGCTCTTAAGCCAAGTTACAGTGATTGCTGGGTTTGATTACCAAACTGTGGGAGTTGTTGACATGTAAATGAAATCCTTGGCTATTCTTTAGAAGAGCATCCCAATATATGACACGAACCCAGTCAGCAGAATAAAAGCCATAGGTTCATTACAGCTGAAGTAGCTTTACCCATTACGAAGAGTAAGAGGAATAAGATCCCTGTACAATGACAATCTATTTGGGTATTTAGAGTATGAGAGCTTAAGTAATTTCCTCAATAGATATACGATAGATAGAAATGAGACGACTATCTACAAATATCAAACCTTAATATACAGAGGTGTTCCCTCGTAATCATACCTAGATATAGATTTGGTTATTAACATTCCAACTTATCAAGAAATACTCTACATTCCCAATGTATGGGAGATTTTGAAATTTGCCTGGATTTAGTACTACTCATTCATGATTATTATATATGTATTCCTTTACCATTTCTTCTATGGCTACGTTATAAAGAATAAAGTTTACGAGTCTATTGAAATCACTTCTATTAATCTTAAGACTATTAATAAGATTGATTGAGAGTATGTAGTGTGAATATATTGATAGAGTGAGCTTATTATTAATAATTTTATAATTAATTGAACTGTTTTAATCATTAAAATAAAATAGTACTAATTAAGGTCATTAGCAGTTGATTAATGAGGGGCAACGAATAAATTTTAAAATTAATAATTTTTGTTAATGCAGACTACTTCCTCTTAACTAATTTTGCCAACCAGCTTTAGAACATCCCTAAACACAGGACAATAGTCCAAACGTTAATCTCTTAATGCCCAGATCACTAAATTAGGCTAGATGCATAAGAATTCCAGTTAGAATGAGCTTTAAAATAGCATGCAGTCCCACACAGTATTTAACGCAAACTTCAACGGGAATGGATCAACCAGTCATAGGGAATCTACAGCCAGTTTCAATCTAATGTTCCACAATTCAAGTATTAAGAATATGAATTTGCCTCTTTAACTCTCCTCTGCCAAGCATAGAGAGTCAAGTTCGCCTATGATGAACCTAGTATCACTACAGGATGCCAGAAACGAAAGGAAACTTAGCAAAAATAAGTTAAGACAAAACTATGCCACATCTGCTGAGAGAGCCCAGTCACCTGACTAGTCAGTACTTTACCCAAAAAGCCAATAGAAAAATAACACTTCTTTTTAGCTTCAGGACTTGAGGCTAATCAGAGAGCAGGTAAAAATCCAGAAATAAAATCATATACTTGGTGTCCAGAGAAAATCACTTACTCCTACATCAGGATTTGAACCCACTAATTTGATAGACGAAAAATTGAATCAAATAAATCTTATTAAAGGAGTCAGTGACAATGAGCATCTTTATCATCATCGACAAAGCCCAATGATGTTGCACTTCAATACTACATCTATGAGATCTAGCTAGCTTAATAATACAGAATAGGCCAAAAGTGGTGATTATGGCAACAAAATTGGTGATATATCTCCGTTTACAATTGGAAACTTGGGTGAAAAGAATGTGGCTTCAATTAGAAACTCTTTTTAAGCGATTGATATGCCTACTCTTCGATGCACATCATCTAATGGCTTTGACTCACAAGTTGAGCAACTGAGAAGAAACAACTCAAGGCTTTCTCTTAACGAGCAATCAAGTATGTAATAAAAGATCCTCAGCAAACAACAATCTAATCTTTAGCTGCATCAGATAGATGAAATCTCCTCACAAGTTAACTAGATTGCTTTACCTTAGAGTGTCAAAACAAATCCAATGTCCTTATGTTCCAGGCTTTCCTCAGATCATTTTAGAACTGCAAAGAATAATGATTCAAGCTAACTTGAAAATTCCACATATTATTAGAGCTCAACTTATGGCCTTAAATAAAAATAAGTTAAACTACTAACATCAAATATTATGGCTGGAGTCAATCAAAGCGTAAACAAAGTGAATGATATGCTGAGAAACAAACAGAAAGTAATCACTCCAAAGAAAACCGATATAATACCACTAGTTCTTAGTGATCTCTAAAAAGTCAATGTTCACAAGAAAGATGAAAAATCTTAAAGAAAATCAAGAACTGAAGGACTTAAGATGGTCCAGTCGCAAAGAAATAGTGGAGTTAATAAGCTCGACACTTTAATTAATAAGTTCGCTCATAACAAAAGACTAAGCAACAAATCTCCAAGTGGGTTTAGCGCAAGTACACAAGAATTGAATTAGAAAAATCAAGTCCATAACTTGAGCAATAATCATACAAATTCGAAAAATGAAATCAATAGCACAATTGAAGGGAATAGATATAACATTATCTCTAATAAATCAAGGAATTTCGAGAAATAGTCTCATCAAAAACCTTAAATAAAAAATATGAACAGTCACCCTGCGAAGGTAACCATTTTAATTAAGGATAGCATCGAGGAAATTCAGAATAACATTGATCATAATTCTAGTTAATCAATTTATTCAAGCATCAATCAAAAGTCATTCAAAGTTGACTCTTTTCACTAACTTTAGTTCTAGTAAAAATTAGGACATATGTCAAGCAGGTCAAGCTAACATAGATAAAAAGTACAAAAGCTCTCACTAGTAGGTCCATCAACCAGTGACAAACTGGATTAGAAATAAGTTAAATCTATTGAAAGGATAAAGACATCTCCACAGTAACTATTCTTTAAAAGAAGTCCAAATTCATCATAGACTAGATTTAGTTTACTCTCAAATTTAAGCAAGACATAAAAGATAATCCCGAATCCATAGGGAGTAAAATCTAATAATAAAAACTCAAATAATGTATCTTTGTAAAATTAATCGCTTGAAAAGTTCCAAAATCAAATTGAGAGCCATAATAAACTTAAATCTAACTTTAATATGCCACTTTCTCTATCAGCTATTAGAAATTTCATGAGTAAAGATATTAGGAAAGTAGCTTCTTAAGAGAGGCCGTAGAGTTTGAATTCTAGAACACTTTAAGAATCAAAGAAAGCAAATAATAATTTACCTAGGTAGTTAAATTCCTCATCATCAATGAGTATGTTTACTGGAGTAAACGGCAATAAGAATAAGCATATCGATCAATAGCAATAGTAAATTCAATCTAATAAATAGACTGAAAAGAGGTTCCTAAGTCCTTTAGCTAAGAATATGTTGCAAAGTATTGTTTCCCAAGTACATTAAAATGAAAAGCAAAAGAGACCTTTCTTGAAGCAAAGTAGCAAGGAAAACGAGAACTAGCATTTGGCGAAGAGAAGTTCAATCCAAATGATTAAAAAGATACCTGTTAATCTACAGACGAATACTAATAGTACCTTGAATCAGCAAAAAACTAACAATACAACAAGAGAAACCATAAATAAGAGGCAGATTGTTCAGCCAAAGAAGTAAAGAAATAATTCTAGAAAGAGATGGACTTAGAAAATGGCTGAGAAAATTAAGAAGGAGGTTGATGAAAAGTAAAAGGTCATTGAAACATCAAACTAGACTACAAAGGTCGCAATCTTAGACGAGAACATGAATGTCATTAGACATAGTTTCAGGAATCAGATATTTGATGGAAGCAATTTAGCTAGTCTTACTCCTGACTCGACCTAATTCTTTTATGAAAATCAGACTTAATTTGCCAATGGTGAATCTAGATTAGGTTTGACAAACATGTCTAATGATCATACAGTTAGGATTACAGATGAAAGCATGGGCTCATCGAGTATGAATGACTTGACTAGATAACATCAAAGACTTATTAAAAAGAAGCAAGTTTCCCAAAATTCTTTACTCTTAAATAGAAATCTAGCAAGAAATAGTGTATTAGAGATTGAGAACATTCTGTTTCAGAATGGCATCATATCTAAAAGAGACTGACTAATCAGAAATTAGAATGTATTGTCAAATACGAGACCTCATATTGTGAGTTAGTTAAATGATAGATATATAATTGCTACTTTAATTCTTAATACATATACAAATTAACAATATTAAACGCGACCTTGATATATATATTCAGGTTCAATCAATCTAGCTATTTTCAACTAACAAAACTTTTCATATATCTACGAGCTCAAATAATGACATTCACATTACAGACCCCAGGAAATCAATGAGTGTTAAGATGAGCATTACGAGTGAAATTGCAAATAAAACACCATAGTAACCACTTTTGACTTTGAATTGCATTTCCATTTTCTCGAATTATCCTTGATATTCCTTCTTAGTGATGAAATATATTCTGTGTTCCTTCTTGAAATATCTACAAAAATTGTATCAAACTGACTATGTCACATACTTTTTAAGATTTATTATCATCAATGGAATAGTGCCTAATAGGACATACCAAGGTGAAGAAATACAGCACACTATGAAGTATATTACTGAGCACAAGTATTCATAAGGCAAAAACTATTTGGAATGAGTTAGACACAACCATGAATTATTTAATACCTAGTTCATATTATTACTTAGCTCTGCTGGTTCCATGCATCCTTACTCTAGATCATCATGACTTATTAACATATAGAGTGAGATGAATAAGCCACCAAGGGAATCGAAGAAATTGATAACCCAGCAAGCAAGATTTAGTGAAAGTTCGAAACTCGATGCATTCTTTGAAGCATATACTGTCATTTTTAGAAATTTATATTTAAATTAGCAAATTACTTTAATGTTGTAGCATCAAGGGGTTTTGGGGTTTTGGGGTTTTGGGGTTTTGGGG